AAAAAAAAAAAAAAACAAAAGGTCGTCTGTATGTCTGCCCGTATTATATATACTAAAATATCTCGAATATCGTTCGAGATAAAAGTTTAAAATTTCTACAAATATAAACAAGAAATCCGTATGAAATTTTAATTTATATTTTTAATATTAAGAATTTAAATTATAATTTTATTATTTATTTATTTATTTATTTTTAATTACACGATATTGAAATTTGCTAGAAAGCAATTAGCTTCTATGATTTGTTTTTATTCTATTACTGAAATAATATTGATAAAAAAACGCGAGAAACGTGAAAGTAGATATGATAGAACATTATATTACTTAATTAAATCTTAACTAAAGTAGGAGAAGGGAGAGGAAAAAAAAGGAAAAAACTTACACGACAGAGGCAATTTCGTAGTGATTTATCAAAAGAAGAGAGAAATAAATCAACTTGTCAATAAAAATGGCGCAGCTGTCTTGATTGACATAGTCCAATTCTTATTCTATAAAACAAATTAGTTCAGTTGTTTTCTTAAAGTAATCTCAACACGAGATTTTTATTAAAGAAAACAAAAATTTAACAGAAACTTCTACCTTTTTCACCCCTCCACATATATTTTTTTTTTTATTTCTTTCCTGGAGGATACATTATAAAAATATAAGGGAACTAAAATAGAATTTAATCAGTATGTTGTTGCATAACACTGGTATAAGGTGTTTTAGAAAATTGAGATTTCACTTCTTCAAGATTACATTTATTACAGTATTTTTTATTATTTTAACGAATTAAATTTGTTTCGGAGATGAAAATTTGTTGTAGAGAAATTAATAACTTTAATATAATTAAAAATAAATGATAATAAGGAGTTGTTATTAATGTTAATCTGCTTTGGTATCGGTGGCAAATAAGGCATTTTAATTACAGTTAAAGTTAGGTTGCAACAATAATTACGGATAACGTTGATTATTATAGTTTACAATAATTGATTATATAATTAATTATAATTAAGATTTTAAAATTGGGATTGCTTGTAATTATAATTGTGTATCGATTGTATAATGAGTTTTATTTTTCTTTAATTATTATTAATGAATTTAATCTATTCTGAAATTATAAAGACCCGAAAGCATTAAAACAATTGCTAGATACATAAAAGATTAACACGCATATACAAAGTAACACAAACACACACACATATATATACATATTATATATAAAAGTAACGCTAAACATATATGATAATATATATATTAACATACACAATTAACATTACCTATATTAATAGAGATCTTCAATAACATCCACCTCTATACATTGCCTATTTTTTCAGGAATTATATATATATATATATATATATATTTTTTTTTTTTAACAAAAATGCTTACAAAATAATCTCCAAATAACGGCCATTTATGTTCTTGTTATTGGCCGCCTTAGGGCAAAATATACATGTATATTTTACCCCAAGGCAGCCACTGGCAGCAACATAATATACATACGGTGCCACCTGCGGCTCTTCTACACCCATACTGTAGTTCCTCTAACTTTTATATATACATGTACTGTACCTTGCTACCTTGGTTTTATATACAGTCGACCCACCTATAACACTGTTGATTATTCCGTTTTATATGAATTCCATGTTATACGAGTCACTTAGATTTTACAAATACATGAGCCGTTCACAGCCCGGCACACGTATTTGTAAAATCTAAGTGACTCGTACAACATGGAATTCATATAACACGGAATAATCAACAGTGTTATACGGGGGTCGACTGTATATACATACTAAAATATAAATTATATAAATCTATCAAAAACATCTACATATATTTTTTATACATTAACCTATATAATAAATACAGTCTACACCTGTATTTATTAATTATAAAGTTACTTTTGAGTAAAGAACTGCTTCAACTTCCAATTGAAAGATGATGACATACAGAAAATGTACTGCATGTATGTACTGTACTTATGTGTAAAGTTTAAAGTTTAGATAAAGATCTAATTGATAAACATAAATAAATTTTTAAATATGTTTTAATACCTTTTTTTTCAATTAAACAAAAAAGTTTTATTTATTTATTATCAGTTTGAAAAATGATTTTTTTAATTATAATTTGCATGGAAAAGAAATCTTTCTTTCAAGTAAATTAATGTCTCGGACTTATAAAATAATTAGAATTGTATTTTTCATTAAACACATAATTAATTAAACATTTTAAATGATTTCTCTAACAAATATATAAAGAAAAAACAAAAAAAAACTCGCAAATTCATTTTTACTAATTATTTTTTTGTGTGAAGAAAATTTGCGTGTTAAATGTATAGTTTAATATATATATATATATAATTTTTCTAATAAGTGAAAATAATTGTTTAGCATTTATCTAAATTCATTTTTTAAAAAGAAAAATTTGCCTAACATTAAATATAAAAATAATTGTTATTTGTGTAATTAACAAGAGACATTAAAGAAAAGGTTACATATTCCAAACTGTTCTCTTTAAATTATAAATAATTATCTTGCAAACTCAGATCATTCAGCTTGTGATTAAGAGAAAAAAAAATTTACTCACTTTAATTAATTAGAAACAGGATGAATAATTAAATTTGTCTTTTATAATTAAGAAAACCGCGATCCGCAATTTTTATTTTAAATAATTAAATTGTATACAAATAAATTTTTTTGACGTATAAATTCGTCTATAGATGTATAGAAAGTTTACTCTTTTTTTTACATAAAAACCGAATTTTTTCTTTTTTTTATATGTATGTTAGGTAAAGGGTTCTATACCGTTCAACTTATCCACACTAAATTTGGCATAAATATTCTTTAACACCCTAAAAATAAATACTGTGGAGGTTCCTCACAACCAAATATTCCTAAAGCCCACCTCCTCTGCAATTTGAAAAAAAATTGTAAGCCCATAAATTGCCATTGTCTGTCCTTCCTTAATATCGAGAATGCAATTAAATAGATCAAAATCGAGATCATATATTAAAGCTCGAGTGCAGAAAGCCCCGATTAACTATATATCAATGTGATTTCGATTAAAATTTCCCATCAGAATGGTGTTACATAGATGACCTGCATGGCTGTTATCAGGAAAAGTATGATGTAAAGGGGCAAGACACTACTAACTTGAGATCGAGAGCATATATCTATATATATAAAAATGAATGTGTATGTGTGTGTGTGTTAAACGGATAATAATAGTATATAATATATAAGGTTACAATGTAGGTCTATCTATATAATGAATGTGTTAAATATGTTATTTATAGTTTAGGAGGGATTATGACAACATAAATTAATGCAAACTGTGTTAGTGATTATTGAGGATTAAATTTTATTACCAATTTCATGTGGATTAAAAACGGATATGGTAAGCAAATATCGTCATCTATTACGTCTATATAAATTTCTATTTAACAAGATTTTGTTGGTTTAAGAAAGGTTTAGATTTTGTTTAAGCATTTATAAACGGTAAAAAGTTAAAAATAAGATTATTTAATGTGTTATATATTTTACAAAGCTATTCTCATGTTTGCTTAATAGTTAAATTACGCGAATATCTCTATTTATTCCAATAGGAATTTAATTCCTGATATTAAGAATGAATCCTTTCTGACTGAGTATACTGTTATTTGATACTATTTTGAAATGAGATACGTAACCAATCCTTCAAAATTATGTTTACTTTAAGCAAATTTGAATTCCATTAACTTGTAAGAATCAAAAGATTTAAATCACACAAATAAATGGAATGTACCTAAATAGAAACAATATTAAGAGGGCCTGGCTTAGAACGTGCAAACCTACATCACTCCTGCATGCACTGTGTGTGGATAAAGAGTAAAATTCTTCTTAGATATTCTATATATAAGTTTGTCACATTCAAATCTCTTACTGTACTTATTTGAATGTTTCTTTATTTATTTATTTACAAAGTAAACCAGGACTTCTTAGATCCTTCTCCGATTACGCTATAGATTTTTTTCCAATTTGTTTAATGGAGTTGAATGTGATTAGACTGTAAATAACATATGTATACATGATTGATATCTTGCTTTGATATGTAATGAACAGTAACTAGTAGTTTTTACTATAATTTCTATAATTATTTTACTGATATAAGGTTATATTAAAAATTTCTAGATGTATAGAAGGAAGTTATACAAAGTCGACTCCCCTATAACACTGTTGATTTTTCCGTTTTATATGAATTCCATGTTGTACGAGTCACTTAGATTTTACAAATACGTGAGCCGTTCACAGCCCGGCATACGTATTTGTAAAATTTAAGTGACTCGTACAACATGGAATTCATATAAAACGGAAAAATCAAGAGTGTTATAGGGGGGTCGACTGTATATGTATTAATCTCTTGTAATTTTGCATTTTTATCAATAATTTTGATGTTGTTTGAATAGACTGATATTTATATTTTGAAGGTTTTCTGCCAGATTGTAATGATATGAAATTTTGCTTATTAAAATAATGACAATACCCAGTAAAATAAGTCTTCATTTTCCTACATCTAAACAGGTGAAAACGAATACTCTATCCTGAATTTCATACAAGTTTCATTCGTTTCTATATGAAACTAGCTGCTTGTGCCCTGTGTTGCTCATGCTTTTGAGGGGCGGGCGATTGGTTTTGTTTGGAAGAAGGTGATGAAAACAATGACCTTAGTAACCAAAATATACATTTACTGACTACAAAACAGCAAAAATTTCTGGAACATAAGTTAAGAGTGGGCTTTACACGTGCTCGGGAGGGACCCACAGTATTTTTTTTATGGTAGCATGAATATTCGTGCCAAATTTCGTGAGGATATGCTAGAACTCTTCACCTAACATACAAATTTTGATGTGTATATAAAATTTATAGATTAAAACTAAATTATTAAATAATTATAAGCAGTAGAACACTGATTAGGATCACTCTACCTTTCGTATAGAGTGATCCTCATCCATTTATTAATCTCTAAAGTAATTTTTTTAAATAAAAAAAAAATAGTTCTGAGTACGATCTAATTGATAATACTTTACTCATACGTGTAATTAAAATGAATCTAAACCATTTATTAATATTTTAGAATAGTAATTATTAAATTCAGTTATGATTTCTATTATTTATTACTTTTCGTTGCATTTATAAATAATAAATAAAAATCTATGCCTTTATAATTTTGATAAGTCTATCACAACGTTAACACAAAATATTAATGCATAAATTCGGTAAATGTCATTCATACTTAATGTAATTAGCTGAATTTTCATTGGTCGATTGACGGGTACACGTCATTTTCGATATTGAATTAGACGCCATATTTGAATTATAAACAAAAAATAATAAAGAATTTTCGGATTAAATATCTTTATTAATCAATATATTTTGAAAAATATATCTGTGAGTAAATAAATAATACGTACGAACTTTATAGATGGTAGCATTATTATTATTATTTTTTTTTTTTCGTTGCAATA